CTTAAGCTGCATATGTCATATAGGGAACTGGTGACCCCTTCCTCAAATGCACCAAGTATTGGCATCAAATTTGTCCCCATTGACTACAATTGTTTCATTCTTTCCTGAAAACTACCTGCAGAGTGGTGACCAATACAGGTTTTCTCCAATCGACAGATGACTAGTATAGTAACATTGATCTAGGGCATTTTCAAATGGAAGTCATAAAGAAAGCACTTCACTACTTCTCTTTTAAGACATTTTCTCTCGTAAGGAAAAAAGAAAGAAGCAGCAATGGAAAAAGAAACAAGGGGGATTATGAGTGAAGAATGACCTTGTGTGATGTTCCCATAAAATTCACTGAGTTAGGCAAGATGATGGCATGATAAAAGCCTAGTCTTGGTTTTATTGTACTTCTCTTATACTATAGTGTAGTGTGACATACCGAGTGAATTGCTTTCTCTGAAGTGCATTCCAGATAACACAAGCTATAGTAGCTCAGGTTTGGACCTTCTATATCACTGTGATTTCTTGTCCTGTCTATTCTCTTCTATTACATTTCTTTTGTTTTGCAGTCTTGAAATTCAGCATGCTCCTTGACCATCTCAATTCTGTTGTCAAGATCCTTCTCTGGCTGTCCTTCTCATCCAATATTTCAAGCAAAAGAAGAAGAATGGCATGACAATTGAATCACAGGTATTGATTTTAGTTTCTAATGAAATATATTTGGCCTTCCAAATCTTTACTAAATTTTCTGTCCTTGGCAGCATGTAATTCAATCCTATTTATATGATCCTCATAGCCATTTTATGTCACCTTCTCAACTTCAACTTTGTTATTAACTTTCTGAACAATAAATTACTCTAGTAGTTATATTTCTTGATTTCTAAATATTAGAAACACCTTTGAACTCAACATCAAATACAATACATTAATTTTTATTAGGCAAAATGGCAGAAATATTATTTCAGGTAATTAATCTTTTAAATTGCTATGGACATGAAATCATGATTTTATATGAAAACTCTCCAATAAAGTTTGTTACCTACTCCCTTCCCTCTACAATCCACATTACTTATTAGCTGTAGAAGATGATTGATAAAAGGTGGTCAATAAAAATGTGTTTTATGCTATAAACTTCCTTTGGAAGATTCTGGTTTTGAAATGTGCATTTCAGGAAGGTTAAGGAATAGAGAAAATAATTGTAATGGATGTCTTCATGAAGCATAGGACTACACACTGATTCAAGAAACGTTAATTGATCTATCTAAAGTTATTTATTGTACTGATTTAATTTTCATAAATATAAATATGTCTAAAATAAAGTCTCCAATATTTTAACTGAAAACTACCATAATATTTATTTTTATGTATGTTAATATTTCTTTGACTTTATGTTTGCTAATAAGTATCTTGTCATTATCTCATTTTTCTCTAAATTAATGCATATTTTAAATTTGTTAAAACATTTATCTTCCAAGATGCCACATATATGTAAAACATGTTGTTCTTGTTGTTGCTGTTGCTGTTGTTGTTGTTGTTGTTGTTGTTGTATACCTTCAGTAGTTTCTGAGATATGGTGACTCTAAGGCAAACCTACTGTAGGGTTTCTCAGGAAAATTTGTTCAGAATGCTTTCCTCTGAGGCTGAGAGAGTGTTACTTGTCCAAAGTAACCCAGTGGATTTCTGGGAACAAGTGTGGATTTAATCCCTGGCCTCCCAGAGTTCTATCCCAACACTGAAACCACTACACCACACCAGTTCTTCCATATAAAGCTTAGTGTACATGATATAACTAATGTGTATGAGGCTGGTCATTGTGCTCCAACATGAAGGTATATGTGAGTGAACTTGCACATGTTATTTGTCACTGTGGTGGGCAGGGAGCAGAATGAATGGAGAGGTGTGATTTTTCAGGTTGTGAGAAAGAAAGACACAAGACTGTAATGATATTTTCTATACATTTTCTCCTTAGTCACGAATATCTATATAATGAAGTTTTAAACTTTCATACATGCGCTACCCATGTATACATACAGCTGAGCAATACAGCTGCAGATGAAGGTTTCGAATACTGTGCTGTTTTTCCTTACAATCAATTTAGCAGCATGGAAAAGGTTTGTTTCTTGCACCTACTGGTATGAAGCTTCTCCTGCCGCTTGGGGTGTGTGTGTGTGTGTGATTTTCAATAATTTTCTTTCCTCCATCCTGCTCAGTTCAGTGGCAGGCAAGAGCTGAATAGCAAGAAGGCAGGACCAGTGTGGCGTAGTGGTTTGAGTGTTGGATCATGGCTTAGAAGACCAGAGTTCGAATCCCTGCTCAGTCATGAAATCCACTGGGTGACTTTGAGCAAGTCACATTGTCTCAGCCTCAGGAAGGCAATGGCAAATCTCTTCTGAACAAATCTTACCATGAAAACCTTGTGATTGGTTCACCTTAGGTCACCAGAGGTTGGAAATGACTTGAAGACATAGCAAAAGGGTGACAGCAATGTTGCTCTTTCTCTGTTGCAAAACTAATTGGCCAGAGGGAATGCCAGGGCTAAATCAGCTTTAGAAAATGTTCCTTGATGTTATACAAATTGACTAATGGTTATACTCTTTATTAAACTTTTGCTTTGAGAATATGGGTTTATGATATCTCTCCAAATGGCTCAGGGTGCCATTCTGTATGCACTTATTTGGAGTAAACCTCACTGAGTAAACCTCACTTAGAAAAATGCATTTGATTTCATCCATTAGTTGGCACCACATGCTACTTTAAACCACAACACAGAGTGTAACAATAGAGAGCTTCTACCAAAGTGTAGCTAGTCATGGTATGCCTGGACAATGATACCATGGGAAAATGGTGATGTGTAGCAGGCTGCCAAGTGGTCACAAGAACTTTGCCATGTATCTGTCTTAGAATCTATAAAAACAATAAAGAGTATAATCTGCCTTCGTTATCTTTGGATTAAACCATCCATAACTTGAAAACTCCCCCCCCCTCAAAAAAAAATCCATAAAGAAAACCTTGATTTTGCCACTTTACTATACCACTGTATATAATGTGACCTGCGCATCAAGTGAATTTTGATATCCACAAGGGATTCTGGAACAAAATCCCAGCAGATACTAAGGGCACACTATACAGTATAAATCTCAGCATTCTGTAGATGTTGCTACAATGGTTGAACAAGCAAACTGATATGTTGCTACTTTGTAAATCAGTCTATGACCACAAACAATCTTTGCCTGAATAAAGTGAAGCAATAGTGCTCCCTCCGCTGTAGCTAGATGTAACATTTTCATGCTTGGTCCTAGGAAATCGTTTCAAGCTCCTCCGCTCCTTTGTTGCCAAGTTGGCAGTCTGTTTTGTAGTCTGTAGACTCAATTATAGCCTGTAAATTCCCTTTAATCTCTTCCAGATATTCTGCATCCAGATTCTTGCAGTGGTGTCTCATTCCCTTACCACCCACTCCTTGTATTGACATTTACTTCTCCCTTGTATTTCAAAGTCTAGTCCATATGCATGGGTTGAAAACCGTGGGCTCTTTTGCCTGCAGCCAGGTGTTTCCAACTACAGATTAATGGTCAAACTAATGCCTATAACACAGACCAACCAAAAAACATTTTTTTTCATGGTGCCTCGGTTTTTAGGCCTGTTCCCGGGGTTATTTGGGACACTCATTCAGAAAAATATCCCTGGATAGATCACATCACTTCTGGTTCACTATGATATTGGATTATGTGATTTTAAATAAGTGGTTTTAAAATTTGATATGTTTTAAATTATTGTTTTAATGTATGTGTTTATTTTATTATGTATGTCCATATGGCATCAAATTACTACCAATATATGTAAACTGCCTTGAGTCCCCTATGGAGTGAGATGGGTAGAGTATGAATGTGGTATATATATATATATAAATAAATAAATAGTTTCTTAGATATGACTATTGTGGATTTCTATGGGTGAGCAGATGGTGTCTAGTATTTATTTATTTACTATATTTATATACTGCCTTTCTAACACAGGGGGGACTCAATGCAGTTTACAACATACTAATGGCAAAAATTCAATGCCAACATATAGTACACAAAGAAATCAAATACACCCAGAAATAGGGCGAACATTAGAGACACCAAAATGTGTGTGGCGGTGCAACAGGAACACCAAAATGGCCCTTTGGGAGTGCATCTCCACTGTAGAATGAATGCCATTTGACAGCACTTTGCTTTGGAATTCTGGAAGCCTAGGTTGGTGAGGTACCAGCACTCTTTGGCAGAAAAGGCTAAAGGTAAACTCGATTCCATAGCATTGAGACATGGCAATTCAGTTGGTATGAAGGAGCCCTCGGTGGTGCAATGGATTTTGGTCAGCAGTCCTGTAGGCACAAGGGATTAAACCCTTGTGTCTACAGGACTGCTGACTAAAAGGTCAGTGGTTCAAATCTGGGGAGTGGGGTGAGCTCCTGTCTATCAGCTCCAGCTTCCCATGTGGGGACAAGAAAGAAGCCTCCCACAGGATGCTAAAACATCCCGGCATCCCCTGGGCAATGTCCTTGGAGACAGCCAATTTTTCCTATCAGGTTCAACTTGAGGAACCGCAAGTTACTCCTGACACACACAAAAATTGGCATCTAATGCTCCAGTTTAGATGCATGCCACCATGTTACCCCTTGAATGAGACAGGCTTCCAGAGTTCCATGGTCTCCTTCTCCTCCTCCTTCTCCTCCTCAGAGCGGTTGTTGTTTTGAGCTGTTCCCTGACTTTCTGGGCACGACCTTGTTGTTGTTCCTTTATCTCCTTTAGCTCGGCATGCCTTCACCCCCCCTCCCCCCCCCCCCGCCGCCCTCCGCCCCCAAATTCCCTTCTGCCTTCCTGCTCCAGCCTCCCACTTTGGAAGGCTTCCCCGATTGTTCATTGTCTTGTGACCCCCCTCTTCGGGCCAAGAGGGCCAGGCGAGGAAAAGAGAGAGAGAGAGAGAGAGAGAGAGAGCGGGACAGGGGCGGTCCCTTGGTCCCTGGTGGCGGCGTGGGGGGTGCTTTCCCTGCCTCCTCCTCCTCCTCTTCCTCTCTTCAGGAGAAGCGGCTCTGCTCTGCTCCTCACTTGGCCAGCCGCGATGGCGAGGTGGCTTCCCCTCGCCTTGGTCCTGCTTCCCGCCTTGTGGAGCCCGTGCTTCTCCCAAGCGTCGGCGGCTCAGCAGAAGCAGCCCCAGGCAGCGCCTCAGCAACGAGGTACGGCGGGGCTTTCTGGCAAACGACACAGGCGCCCCACACGCCCCCCGCTTGCTTGCTTCCTTGCTTGGCTTCTTCTTCTCCTTCTGATGGAGAACTACTCCGAAGTTCTGGTTTGGCAACGTGGGTTGTTTCCCAGCAGGGCTGGCAGGAGGAAAGAAGCTCCTGCCGGGGGAAAACCAACTAAACTTTGACAGCAAAACTTTCCCGGGACCCTTTGGACAGCTCTGTCGAAAGGGAGCCTCCTCCAAGGCGAGACTTTGACGTTGAGCCCGTTCTCTTCTCCGTGGCCTTGGCCCCAGAGAGGAATCTTTCGGTCTCTCTCTCTCTCGCTCGCTCGGCATCCCTGGCTTTTTCAAAGCGGCTGTCCCTTCCCAAAACGCACCTGTGCGCCTTTGCGCGCCTTCACAGGTCCAGGGCAGGCAGGCGCGCGCAGCCCCTTCCCCCCATTCTGACTCAAGCATGTGGGCCACGTCGAGCGTCACTCAGCATATATACTTCCCCCCTGATTGGGAAGCGGAGGCTGAGGTAAAAAAAGGGTGTTGTGGCTTCTTTGAGGCACACCTGTTTATTTCAGGACGCAGGCTTGTGGACCACAGCCTACTTCTTCAAATGCTAGAAGGGTCTCCTCCTCCTCCTCCTCTTCTTCTTCTTCTTCCTCCTCGTCCTCCTTCTCCTCCCTCTTCTTCTTGGCCTTCTTCTGGTCCCTTTTCTTCTGCTTCTTCCACTTCTCCCCCCTCCTCTTCCTTCTGCCCCCCTCTCTGCCTTCCTCTTCCTCCTCTTTTTCTTCCTCTTGTTGTCCATATTCTCCTCCTCTTCCTCCTCGTTCTCCTTCTCCTCCCTCTTCATCTTGGCCTTCTTCAGGTCCCTTTTCTTCTGCTTCTTCCACTTCTCTCCCGCCCCCCCCCCCACCTCCTCTCCTCTTCCTTCTGCCCCTCTCTCTGCCTTCCTCTTCCTCCTCTTTTTCTTCCTCTTGTTGTCCATATTCTCCTCCTCTTCCTCCTTTCTCCTTCTCCTCCCGCTTCTTCTTGACCTTCTTCAGGCCCTTTTTCTTCTACTTCTTCCATCCCCCCCCTCCTCTCCTCTTCCTTCTGCCCCTCCCTCTGCTTTCCTCTTCCCCCTCTTGTTGTCCATATTCTCCTCCTCTTCCTCATTCTCCTTCTCCTCCTCCTCCTTCTTGGTCTTCCTCAGGCCCTTTTTCTTCTACTTTTTCCACTTCTCTCCCCCCACCTCCTCCTCTCCTCTTCTTCTGCCCCTCTCTCTGCCTTCCTCTTCCTCCTCTTTTTCTTCCTCTTCTTTTCCGTATTCTCCTCCTCCACCACCTCCTTCTCCTCCTTTTTCTTTATCTTCCCTTGCTCCTATCTTGCCCCATCCTCCTCCTCTCCTTCTCCTGCTTCTCTCTCCCTGAGCTTCTCTCCGCCTTCTTCTTTTCCTTCTCCCACCTTCTCCCTGACCTCCTCCTCCTCCTTTCTTCTTCATATAGGTTCTATGTAAGGGTTCATACATTTAGCTGGCATTCCAAAGTCCTTCAAAATTGTCCCCATGTCCAGCTGAGACAGCGAAACCTATGCTTCTGATCTTTCAGTAGGCACCAGCTTGGTTTCATGCACAAAAGTTTTGAAAAATAATTGCAGATAAAATTATCTTCAGACTATGTGTGGAAGGCACATATGAAACATCAGTTTAGTGTAGTGGTTCTCAACCTGTGGGTCCCCAGGTGCTTTGGCCTACAATTCCCAGAAATCCCAGCCAGTTTACCAGCTGTTAGGATTTCTGGGAGTTGAAGGTCAAAACATCTAGGGACCCACAAGTTGAGAACTACTGGTTTAGTGGGTTGCTGTGAGTTTTCTGGACTGTATGGCCATGTTCCAGAAGCACTCTCTTCTGATGTTTTGCCCACATCTATGGCAAACATCCTCAGATGTTGTGAGGTCTGTTGGAAACTAGGCAAGTGAGGTTTATATATGTGTGTAATGTCCAGGGTGGGAGAAAGAATTCTTTGTCTTATTGTGGCAAATGTTAATATTGCAACTGGCCACCTTGATTAGCATTGAATAGCCTGCAGCTTCAAAGCCTGGCTGCTTCCTGCCTGGAGGAATCCTTTGTTGGGAGGTGTTAGTTGGGAGGTGTAATCTGATATGGTGGTTGTTAGAGTGGTGCAGCATTTCTATGTTCTCAGATAAGATGTTGTGTCCAGGTTGGTTCATCAAGTGCTCTGCTATGGCTGATTACACAGAAGTTATTGAAATCCAACAAGAATGTGGATGATTTCAACAGAAAAGAAGAAACCATGAAAATGAACAAAATCTGATGATTAGTATTTAAAAAAAAACCCTCTAAGATCAGGACAGCAAATAAATAATAATAAAAATAAAACTTTATTTGTGCCCACCCCCATCTCCCCATCTGGGTGGCTAACAAAGCACTCAAGGTGCCACATATAAAACAGAACTACATATCATCAAAACAATGTACAATTTGACTGAATACAAACAATCGACAACATCAATTGATAAAATATAAATATTTAAAAATTCTAAAACACAGTCATACCTTTGGGTCATTGGGTTTCTTTAAACACAAACTAAAGTGCCGAATAAAGAGCAACACTCAAAAAACAGTGGAATTCCAGACAAGAATCAATCAGGGCCAGCTAACACCTCCCAACAAAGGATCCCTCAGACAGCAATCAGCCAGGCTTTGAAGCTGCAAGGCCATTCAATACTAATCAAGTTGGCCAATTGCAACATTTACACCTGCGTCAAGCGTACAAGAGTTCTTTCTTCCACCCTGGACATTCTATCGATATATAAACCCCACTTGCCTAGCTTCCAACAGACCCCTCGACTTCTGAGGATGCCTGTTATAGATGTGGGCAAAACATAAGGAGAGAATGCTTCTGGAACATGGCCATACAGCTCAGAAAACTCACAGCAACGCAGTGATTCTATCCATCAGTTTAACATTGAGACTTGAGTCTTCATGGCATCTCATTATGTATTAGAAGAATTCCAAAAAGTCAAATATGGGGCACTTCTGGCCTCAAGCATTTCAGATAAAGGGTGCTTGATCTGTATACAAAGTAGAGAAATTGGATGGAACAGAGTGTCAGTCTCTTACCTATTTGTAAATCACTTCCAATAAAATGCATCATTTCAGTCAGTTTCAGGCTACAGTGTGTGGTGACCATGCCAAGAGATATTGCATGAACATTTGGAGGGGAGGGGGAGACAAGAGAAAGTGCCAAATAAATGCACACTGCTTTCCCTCCATAATGCCAGGATTGCATTGTCTGTATTCTTTTTCCTAATTCTTTTTAATTTGCAGGAGAAGAAAACAGTTGAGTGGATAATATGGAAACAATGTTAATTAGGGACAAGAATGGTTTTAACTGGATGTAAAACATGTGTGACTTCAACTCCAGTTTAAGTATGACAATTAAAGTGACAGGACAGGCATATCCCCTTAGCTCTTGAAAGCAAAAGTGTGGTGTTAAGATATTTTAAGAGTGGAATCTAAAAATAGACTGAATAACTCTGCCTGATTATGAATTTCATGTAGTAATTTGAAAGTAATCAAAATCCTCATACTGCTGTAAGGATTTTCATTCATCCCACATTTTAAGCTCGAAAATGAGATACTTTAACTTGTAAAGTGTAATATGTTGTGATTTTTGAAAGCCTCAAGCAGATTCCTTCTTTATGCTAATATTTGAAGATGGCTAGCATCTTCAAGGCTAAGGCTGAAATCCTTTGCATAAAGTACTTTGCCATATTAAGTGCAACTGAAATCAACTGGATTTATTTGCAAGTAAATGTTCAATGGGGTAGATCGCATATGCCATTATAGAAAGTTATTGTAAACTGTGTGGTGGGGAACAAGTTCACTCAAACATGTTGACTGCATTTGGAAATTGACTCAGTGGAAAAAGGAGAACAGCCAGTCACATTTTAAAATAGCACATTTAAAATAAATTGGAGTGTATATTCACTGCTGTTGCCATTTACTGCTCAGACAAGGAGGTAATTTCCCACTATAGAAATATCACCTTCTTTTTACTGCTGATGTTTTAGTGATTTATAGAGAGCTGTTACTGTATGTGTAACTTCAGACAACAACATGTCATTGGCCAGATGAACTTAACATTTCTAAACTTCAGTGAACAGGGGCTAAACAGCTGGCAAAAAGAGAAAGAATGGAGACTAAAGGATCGGTGCAATCAAATGCAATTACATTCACTTTGCCTATATTCTAGTGAGGGCTGTGAACTAGATTAGAAATGTAAACAATGAAAGTAGTCTTGGAGAGACATGAAGGGGGCAGATACCCATAGGTGTTTTGGAAAGGAACCTTCATTAATATGGGCAGCCACACTCAAAATAGAATCCAGGCAAAGCAGATATATTTTAGAGCCGTGTTCTATGAATATGTATTTGCCTGCACCTATCCATCTTTTATCATCTGCCAAATATGAGCCTGTAATCTTAGCTAGGGATCAAAATTATGGAAATATACACCATATTTACTGCCCTGATGATGATGATGATGATGATTATTATTATTATTATTTTGTCTTCCTCAAAGTTTTCAGTGTTATGTTCTAATACTCCTGCAGGCTATAGCAGGTCCACCACTTTCACATGGGCTAGGTGCACAGGACCCTTTCCAAAAATGGGGAAAGTATTTTAAAAAAAAAACTATAATTCTTGTTACTGGAGGGGACACCTCTCTAGGATCTGTAGGTCCTCCAGGGAAAAGGGAAAGCTAATTCTAGTGGGACACTCTCCATGTGTTACTGTTTTGAAGTACCTTAATGCTACGGCTACCATGGCTCTAAGACACTAATGTGAAATGAGCACAAGTGTGGCATTAACATATTTAAAAAAACTATCAAAGTCTCTAGTTAATGACAAGTACTTTTACATGGTAATACCTTTTGAGACATGGTACATTTTGAGTTACTCTCGAGTGCTGTGATCAAAACTTGTGAGAGGTCCATA